CCCTATTAGGGACAAGAGTCCCTTCTCTTTGCTTTTGGGTGCTCACATGGCATCTAGAGGGCACGGGTCATTATGCTGCTCACATGGGGTAGATCAGTGCAGCATGCCCTGGAGAAGTGAGCAGGCTTCCTTCCCTCAGGCAAGCAAAAGCTGAACTCGAGACTTGTCCTCATAAAGCATGGATTTCAGTTCCTCCGAGGAGTCTTAAAATGTTTCTGTGCCAGCTTCAAAGGAAAGAGGAAAAGTGGCCAGATTCCATGAACTGTCATAACCCCCCTTCCCTTCTTCCTGTCCCGTGAGACAAACTTTGAAACCCCGGCCTCACCCTCCCAGAGAAGCAGCATGAGCAAGGGGGCCGGAATGCGCCTCCTTTGCAGGCTGATGGCTTCTGTGTGCTCTCACATCTGATCGTTTCCCTGGGACCTGCTAAGAGCTGCTCTGTGAGGTGGATTGGGGGGCAGGCAAATTGCAGGTGATCTTCTTGGTGGAAAAAGAATTTTTCCTTCTTCTCTCTCCTGGGCCTAATTTAAAGTGGTACAGTCAACATGTGGTGAGGGTCACTGAGTCCAGGATGTGCACACTGAACGTTATATGACAGAGTCCTTATGGGGTGGGGCTAGGTGTCCCCCACTACCCCCACCACCTACTAATTCCTTATCGTAGCAGATTGTCTGAGGATTCCGTTTAAACTATTGGATGTTCAGAAGTCTCTACAAACTTTCTAGGTCTTATTTGGGATCTTAGTGGACATTTATATTACAAGAACTCATGAAAAATAAATGTAGAAAACAGAAAACACATCTATCTTTGCTAATGAGAAGGATCGCCACGTCTGCCTGTTCGAGATGGATTTCGGTTTCTTCTCATCCAAAATGAGGTTAAGACTGGTCTTCGATCATGGAGAAAAGAGAATACAAGTTAGTTTGGTACTCTGCAGCCTGCTGTAGCACAGCAGACCTTGGAGTTTAGTTTCGGCTCTGCCATTCACTTGCTGTGTGCCCTCGGTCAAGTCACCACCCGTCTCTGTGACTAATTATCACATTAAAAAAAATTAAATCACGTAGTGAAAAATTGTGTGCAATTCAATCTTCTAATCCTCCTGATTAAGGAAATAAGACTGTCTCAGGGTACTGTTATATCTCGGACACCTTTTAAACACCACCCGATCTTACTTTTTTACAAAGTGAGCAGACTTCAGGCTCAGTCTTCCTTAGCCTGCATGTATGCATCTAGATCGAAAGTTAACCACATTGTTTTATTTGCATTTTATTTATTTTTGTAGTTACTTTTTAATGACAAGTGATCCTGGTTTTTCATTTCTAGCAGTGATGTAGAGTTTTCTCTTAAAATAAATGTGTTTATGTAGGTGGGAAAATTTATAGACATCTATGAAGGTGCTATTGGCACGTGATAAAAATTGTGAAGCTGGTACGTGAATGGCTGCACTTAGAAAACCCTGGCTTAGATGACCCCGATGTGCTTTCCAGTTCTGAGGACCTGTGACCGTGAAAGCCCCAGTTCCAGCACGAAGAACACTTTCCTGGTCTCCAACTGTCTGAAATGTGAGTTTTGTGTATGCAGTGATTGTACGTGGCTTTTTGGCCACTGTATCTGAAACATCTGATTCAGTGGGTGGCACGTGGTTAGATTTCAATCAATGATTCTGAAGGAATGAATGCCTGGCTCAGGTGGAGAATACTGGGATGTGACATCTGTTTATGTTTAGGAGCAAAAGAGAAGAAAACTCTTGCATTTCAGATCCTGTGGAGTAGTGAACAGGCACAGGTGGGCATACACACACACACACACACACATGCATGCATGCAAGCACACTTTATGTTTTGAATGTTAAACCAAGTTAAATTTTTATGATAACATTGAAATTTGAAGAATATATGTAATATTGCTTTAAAAAATAACTTGGCACTTGACGTCTTTTCTCCTCTCTGGAAAAAGGCAAAGTTTAAATCATGAAGGAGTGAATAATTAAATAAATATATTTACCTTTTACTTTCAGTTTTCCTTATTTCCAAATCTCATTGGCTCTCTGCTTGGAGTATTTTTAAATTGACTGGCTTGCTTGGTTCAAATTATGTTTTAAAGAAGTTTTGGCGCGGGCTTCAGACCTGGTGTGTTTGCTGGGCTGGAATTTGGGTGTGCCACCAAGCTCCTTTGGCTGGGCGACAGTTTAAACACAGCCAAACAGCTGGTCCTTCTGGGAGAGTCATCAGTGGGAAGATTCCACAGAAACGAGGTCCTGGGCCCTGCAGTGGGGTCTGAGGGGCCAAGCGGTTTCCTCAGTCCAAGGGAGATCCACTAGCCTCGGGGGAGCCATCACCGACCCCCGCCCATCTCCGTTTTCTCTTTCCTGCCCCTGGAGCTGCGGTTGACTCTGACTTTCAGTAGTCGTTGGAGACGGCTGCCTCTGGAACCAGAGTTAGTGGAACAGAGAGATAGAGACCGGACGCCCTCATCAGCCCCGTATCCCGTCTCAGGTGAAGGCTCATCTCTGCACAGGGGGACAGAGGGGTTTGAGACTGTCTTTCAGAGAGAGCCATCCCTGCTCCCTCAGCCCAACTCCAGCCATTTGATTTCATCGATTAGCTTTTCTGAGGGCAAAGGAACATCAAGGGGAGGTAAATGAAAGCAGAATTGTTGCAATGTCCTGAAAAACTTTCTCGTTGCTCAAGCAGCACAAATAGTTATTTCAAAAAGAATAAAGTGGTATACTCCACAGAGCTGTTGTGATGAATTGAAACAATGTGGATAAAGCATTGAGACTGTGTCGCACTCAGCATAAATAATAGCTGTAATTATCATTTAGCTCCTCAAGCAGTAAGTGGCTCCTGGTGGGCCTCAGTATACATTTGTTGAAAGAACAAATGATGGAACTGGCTGCCTTAGGGGAGGAAGCTAGAGGTGTCCAAGCCAAAGGTGTGTGTTACTGACTTATGGTATTGATACTTCCATCTAATACCAAAATAAAAATAAAAGTGAGCTCAGAGATAGTGCTTCAGATCTGCCACCCATCGATCCATCTGATGCCCTTCAGGGCAGGGTGGCCCGGCAACTGCAGAATGACTTCCCGTCTATCCTCCCCTTTCTGTGTAATTATTTTGAAGCTGGACTATGCCTCGAGTTAAGCCGACACGCCTCAGACAGCAAGGCTTTGCAGTAGTCCTTTACCTGGGTGGCAGTTGAGAGCAGCGAAGCAGGCGGGCATTTCCTACCTGGCACAGGCTTATAGAGTTTTTGAGGTTTGGCGTGAAGGTCCTGACTTAGCGAAATATTAAGGAGGAGATAAGGTCTCTGAGTCTGTGTCTACTGTTAAGAATTTCTGTTTCTCCGCTCCTGACTTAAGGGTGTGCTGAAGCTAAGCTGCCAGAACCCAGAACTCTACTCAGACTGATGAGAGTAGAGGAACACAGCAGATAGGCCATTATGAGAAAAACGAAGAGAATAAAATCTATGCGAAAGTGTCTTTCTGAACCACAATCTGTCCCATCTGGATAGTGTTGGACTCCCAGGGGCATAGGCTGTACTTGTGGTTTAGTAAATCTCCTAAAATTCCCCAGCCAGGTGGTCTCTACGTTCAAGGTATCTTAGAACCATGATTCCCAAGAGGTGGGGGTCTCAGAGGTAATTGCTGGGCAGGCATGCTGTAGAGGGGCTCCAGCTCCGCACAGGAGCATGAGTTACAGCGACAGGCACTAACAGTATGGAGGGCTCGCTCTGTGCCAGCAGTATGTCACAGATGTCCGTGAGTCATCGCTGCCAATCCCCTGGGCAGCCCTGAGGCAGGCGCGCAGTCATGGGTGTTCGTTGTTTGTGGTCGCAGGCAGCATCCCCATTTCCCGAGAGCCCCGGATTTCCCTTTGGGAGTTGTCTCACTGTCGGGGCTGCTGGAATGGCTAATCGGACATTTTCTTCTCTCCCAATAGGGCCTCAAGTTTTCTTCAAATCACACTGGGAGAAGGGAAAGTCCAAATGGAATTTCTCTCTTCCAGGACTTGGCATCCCGAGCTTATCACTGGAGAGCAGAAGAAATCGTCAGGACGTGTTGATTACAGCTCCCGTCCTGGGCCAGACAGCCAGGTCACTTCTGCCGCCTGTTCCCAGTTCATCCAAACCCTTCTCTTCTCTTCCCTCTTGTGAGCTGCCCCTCACCCTCCAGTAAATTTCCTTTAAATGGAGCCGAATTCAGGTCTGTCTGCTCGCACAGCCTGTGAACTTAACCATTACATAATTTTGAAGCCTCTCTGTTTCCCCTTAGGCACGAGGCTCTAAAAGGCTCTGCTTCTGAAAGTCTGAGCATGTACAATTCTAAAATGATATCATTGATTCCTTTTCTGTTCTTTCAGAGCTGGTCAAGGTTCACACCTGCAAATCCCTACAGCTTGAGCTGTCGCCTGAGTCAGCAGTAGGGTGTGTGAGGGCTTGTAGACTTGAGCTCAGCTGACAGACACATCCCTTTACTCACGCTGGCTTCTCCCTGCGGGCTACACATTGTAAGGCCCGGCCAGCCTAGTTTCTCACTTGTCCATAATATCTAGGGTCTACCATCCCCTAAGAGAAATCTGCTGACCATGCAGGAGAAATCTGAAATTGAATGAGGAGGTGAAGACACCTCTTTAAGAGTTTTTGCCTTGAAGTGCCCCACGGTGCTGTATCCACTAAGCAGTGATGAGCAGGGCCTTGCAGCAGCTTCGAGAAATGCTTCACAACCTACTGGTAGCATGAAAGATTAGAAACGTTCCCCCGTACGGCCACTAGGCAGATATAAGCAGTATTCATATTTAAGCAGCTAAAATGTAGCACTCATTTCCTTAATGTTATTCTTCATTCACTAGAGTAGATCATTTGAATTGCGCGAACACTTTTTTCCCCATATGAGATTCAGTAACGCTATTTTTATTTTGAACCAAAATTTAGTTCGATTGTTCCTGACTTGCCCTCTTGCCAAATAATATTGCTTCCCTTACGCTATCTTACAGGCTCAGATCGAAGCTTCTATGCTGAAGGCTGAGGGAATCGAGAGGGTGGTTTACAGAGAGATGAGAAAACGTAGGTGGGTGTATCTTTTAAAGCTGAGGCTGCAGGCGAAGAGCAGGAAGAACACCGGGAGATGGAGAGCTGAGCTGAGCAAAAGAGTTGCTCCCAGCGAGCACTTGGGGCACCACTGCAGATTTATAGGGACTGGTAGCAAGAGCAAAGCAGTCAGTGAATAGCAGAGGACAGCGGATAAAAGACAGCCAGGAATAGGATGTCCCATGCTGAGCAGTCTGCAGCCCGGGGCATTTAGGTGGGGTCTGGTCTTCCTCGGAGCAGCCAAAGGGCCTTTGCATGAGCAAGACACCTGGTCGAGTCTTTTTGTTTTGTGTCTGTCCTGATTGCCATGCTGCTAGGGGTTTTCAACCTTTCTATAAAGAATAGACTTTTTATCTGAGTCTTTGAGTTAGTGTTTGGGGCTGTGGAAACTGGAAACCAGTCAAGTCAATGTATGTATAGTTTTATGGTTTGCAAAGTATCTTTCTACACATGACCTCAAGGTACCTCTGAGGTATGTTGGGAAGATGAATATGAAGAATTTACACAGCTCGTTATGTCACAGAATACTGCTGATGCCACCACTGTGCAGAGAAAGCAGGGCATTAATGAGGCAGGAAGGGAAATATTGTGCAGACAGGCTAACTGCCGTATTTTCTGCGTTTGGCCTCTCACAAATGCCTGGCCGCCAGGCAGGACGGTAGCGGTTATGCATTCCATTCCCAATAGGTCAGACTGGCTTTGTGTTAAGTTTCCTGTATTGTGTCACTCAAATATGTCATGTGTACTTGGTTGTCATAGCACCTTGTTCATGAAAGATGACCTTTTAGGCCAAAGGTCACAAACTGACTGTCCCCAAGATTTGCTGGCCCCAGATGGGTTTTGCTGCATCTGGATCAGGTTGAAATTTTTGAATTGGTTGCTAATGTTTAAAGAATTGGAAGAAATCTGCATTCCTGGTTTTCTTGAAAAAAATTGGAGAATCTGACAACACTGACTCTGCAACGGCCCTGTTTCCATGAGTCATGTGCTCTCCACGTTGCCACAGACCCCACCCAGCCTGCTTCGCTCTTCTGCATCACCTGCGTGGCTCCGGGTGCACTTGAGTTTGAGAGCCTTGGCCTAAGTCGTTGTCTTATGTCACTTGTCACGTGGAACAGGGATTGGCGAACTCTGGCCTGTGGGCCACATCTGGTCCTGAACCTGTTTGTATAAATAAAGATTTATTGGAACACTGCCACTCCCATTTGTTGATGTATCGTCCGTGGCCACTGTCACACTACTGAGTGCAACAGTTGCTAGAGAGATCACCTTGTCTGCGAATCCTAAAATATTTAGTCTCTGGCCCTCTATAGGAGAAGTGAGCTGATCCCTGAGGTAGACCACGGCCGGAAGGCTGCTTTTCACTGCATAGTGGCCTAAGTGTTTTCTAAACAAAAGATTTTTCCTCTCAGAGGAATTCTACCAGTGCTCTTAAACTCACTTCATTTTATTTCTCTCCAGGCTTTATTTATAACCTACCAAACTGAAAAAGGACATTGGTGACCAACTGTTCCCTGGGTCTGGGTTCTTATGAGGTCGTACAATGTCAGTTTTAATGGTCAGGGCCATTAGGCACTTGGCTTCCTTTCATCTTTCCCTGGCCTGCCATGCCTGTGGGGAAATACCGAGAATTATTGGCATCCTGATTTTCTGTAGACTCTACCTCTAATCCCCCGGGGTTAGCATTGCTGTTGTTTTTGTTATTTATAAGAACAATCTCTTACTCATGTGCAGTGGAAGTGGTTAACTCTTTCACAATATTCCTGTACCTTTTTTCATATTTCTGTCTCAAGACTATCCTGCAAGGCGAGTTGATTGCCCATTCGACAGCTCTTTTACCTCCCATCTTTCTTGCTGTGGAGCCCAGCTCTAGGGAGTGACTGAAAATGCCAGAATCTTTCTTTTCTAGCCTTCTACAGTGGCTTGGGTGATCACGTGATCCTATTCTGACTAATGAGAGATAAGAGAAGTCTTCTGGGAGACTTCTAGGAAATGTTTTCCTACCTCCTAAGAAAGCAATATGTTCAAGAGAAATTCCTGTGTCCCTTCCTTTTTGTTTCTGAGTGTGGCTTTGTGAGGGTGTGATGCTTGGAGCTGTTGCAGCCATCTTGGGACATGAGGGAAGGCATCAATGATATACAGAGGATATTAGGAGGAGGGATGAGAAAATTCTGAGTTCCTGGGGACATCCTTGAGCCTGGAACCATTGCCCATCAGATGGTTCTTGTTATGAGAGATGCTAATAATATTTTTAAATTAGAGCCACTTTGGGTCAGGTATTCTGTTATTTTATGTCCAAAAGTCTCTTAATTCAAACAATCAGGTGCTATTACCTCCAGTTTACGTAATTTTTAAAAAGTTGCAAAAATGTATACAGTTCTTGCTACATATTAGGTACTGTTCTGAGTACATTCCAAATAGTAACTCATTTAGTCTTCATAATAACAGTAGAAAATAAGTATTATTATCCCAATTTTATAGACGCAAAAAGTGACATTCCATAAATGTTAATACTGCGTGAGGTCACACTTGGTAAGAGCCAGGATTTAACCCTGGGCAGTCTGGTTCCAGGAGGCCATGAGCTTAATATCTGTACTATGCTCCTTCTCCAGAAGAGAGGAAATGGTTTGCTCCATGTCACATGACACAAGTTATTTCACGGCATGTGGTGCTACCCTAAGCTTGGGACAGACCCTGGAACAGTCTGTACATCTGCCCCTCTATGTCCTCCTACTGCTCTTTCTTCCTTCCTACTGGCTGCAGGCATCGGACCATTGCCAGCTGGGTGAGCTTAGGAGGTGGGCGTAGCAGGGCCAGTACTCTGAGCCCTGTGCCTTACTGAAAGACATTGCGTGGTGGCCCTGGGTACTGGGTTTGAAGTCAGGCAGAGTTAAATTTAATTATGACTCTGCAACTTCTAGTTTTGTTATCATGAGAGTGTTCCTTTCCCTCTCTCAGCCTCAGCGTCCTCTTCTGTAAAATAGAGTAACAACGACCTACACAATGAGGTAATTTTAAGTATTAAAATGATAGGCATATAAGAAGCTTAACAAAGTATCTATCACCAAGTAATCACCTAATAAATGGTAAATACTGTTATTGGTGAGGTCGCTTTTTTATTCTTACTGTCACTATGTTTGAGGCTGTTTGTGAGGCTAACACTTCTCGGGAACCCTCTGTTCTGTATGAGGTGGACCCTAAATCTTGGAAGTAAGAGAGAGGACGATGCACTGTGAGAGATGGCGACCTAGGAATCAGGAGAACAATGCCAGCCCGACTTTGTGATCTCGGTGGCTCCCTTTCTTTCTCTGGGCCCCCGCTTTCCCACCTGTCAAATGCATGTGTTGGCTGAGATGACCCTTAAGGGCCTTTCCCAGCTCAGACAGGCCACACTGCAAGACAAACACCAGGCCTGCATTCTCTCTGGGACTCTGCACAGCCCAGGAGCGATTACCATCCCTGAGGCCTTGATTCAGTTTCCTCCCAAATCTACTAAGGCTGTCCCATCAGCTACCAGCATGCCCAGTGCCCAGTGCCTGGCACAGGTACATGGTCAATAATTCTGAGCTGGATGAATGAATGAACTCCACCGAGTGAGTGAATGCCACCTGTGACCTCTGAGGGTTGGACAGACTTGGTTTCTTGTAGTATAAATATTTAGAAGATGACCATGATTATAGTTTTTGGCAAGGGGAATCACTTACTCATGGTCATGGCCTTGAACTTAACCAAACTGTGAGCCAGCACCAGAATAAACTGCACTGAACTGCCAGCCTCAGAGGCAGAGGGAAACTGATTTTCCATTGACCCATGAGCCAGGTCTGCTTTTTTTTAAATAAAATATTTTACAAACAATCCAATATCTAGCAAATCTGATCAAACAAGATACTTCCTTGAATTTGTTTTTAAGCCCCTGAACTGAAAGTTAGACCCCAAATAATCCTAGTTTATAATATTGCATAATATATGCAAATAATAATAATGTTAGCTAACACTTGTAGGGCAATCGCTTTGTGCTAAGTGCATTATCTCGTTTAGTCCTCAGACAAACTTATGTAGGTACCATTTTTATTCCTATTTTACAGGTGAAGGAAGTTTGACAGCTAAGTAACTTTTGCCAAGGTCACATGGCCATTAGGAGGCAGAGTGGACATTTGAGCCCAAGGCTGTTGGATCCCTCAGCATCAAGGATAGCAACAGTTTATTGAGTCTGCATTAGGAGTCAGTCACCAGGCGGAGCATTTGCATGCAAGAAATCAATTAATCCCTACAACAGTGCTGTCCGGACTGTGCCGTAATTTGCTCCATTTTGGAAATAAGGAAACAGAGCTTTTGAGAGATGGTGTAACTTGCCTGCAGTGTGTGGATGGTGGAGCCACGCTGTCCCCACAGAACAGCAGAGCTCAGGAAACTCTCAAGGGCCACAAAAGGGAGGGACTTTACCAAGGCCACACAGTGACTCTGAGCTGGGACAGAGCTTCATTGAAGACCTTCCCGTTCACTGCTGGGAGGGTGGTATTGTAGTAACAGTGGGAAGAGGACCTGCCATAATACACCACCAGCACACATGTGTACACACACGAGCTCCCCTGTCCCTTGCCCTAGTGACAGGAAAAAGAGCTCAGTGGGTTAGAGTACATGCTTTGGAGTCACAGACCTGTGTTCGAATCAGAGCTGCAGAACTAACTTGCTGGGTGATATTGGCAAAGACCCTTCCTCTCCTTGAGTCTCTGTTTGCTCTTCTGCGAAATGGGATGGTAACCACACCTGCCTCCTGGGGTCACTGGAGGAGTAAATGAGAGAACACACATAAAGCGTCTGGCACAATGAGCACAGCACAGCTAACATGGAGTAGCTCTTGTTATTGAAATGGTCCACCAGCTGAAAGAGGATTGAGAACCACTGATCCATTGCTCCATGTAGAGATGCCCTGAAATCTGCTTCATGGTGATGATTTATTCTGGTGGGATGGAAGCCCAGGGGCTGAAGAATGTCAGACTCTATCGGGGATGCACAAGTACTTGGGACACACGCACACATGCACCTGCACACCTGGATATAATACACTACTGGTACACATGTGTACATACATGTGCATGCAGGCATATGCATGCACACACAATATATGTGGCGTATATGCTCACGCATACATATGCACGCATGTATATATATGCTTACACGCAACACATCGATGGCTATACATGCTCACACGTGTTTACATGCATCCACACATATATTCATGCACACGTACATTGGGCGTGCACACTCCCTCCCCCTCTTTGCCTCGTTAATATCAGCTCATCCTTCAACTCTCAACCCAAAGGTCACAGCCTCAGGGTACCGCCCTGACCTCCCAGGTAAGGCCAGGCCACTCAGGCTGTGCTCTCTGGGCACCGTGCACTTGTCTTCCTCGGTTTGCATTTTAATTGTCATTGAATAATCATTGCTTAATTCTGTGTTTCCTGCTAGAATGTTAGCTCTGCAGAGAACAGGGACAAAGCCTGACTATTCTCCACTGATCGAAAGCACCTAATACAATCTAGCACATAGTAGGCCTTTGATAGATTCGTTCCATTG